TTGCTACACGGGAGCCCATCACTGCTGCCACTGTGCTAATGCATCTCATCAGGAGTCTTCCTCTTTTTCTCTGACCCTCCACCTTACCAAACATGATATCCTTCTCCAGTGACTGGTCCCTCCTGACACTATGCCCGAAGTATGAGAGATGAAGTTTGGCCATCCTGGCCTCCAAGGAGCACTCTGGTTGCACTTCTTCCAAAACAGATCTATTGGTTCTTTTGGCAGTCCATGGCACTTTCAGTATTCTCCTCCAACACCACAACTCAAAGGCATCAATTTTTCTATGGTCTTCCGTATTCACTGTCCAGCTTTGGCATGCATATGAGGTTATTGAAAATACCGTGGCTTGGGTCAGGTGCACTTTAGTCCTCAAGCCGATATCCTTGCTCGTCAACACTTTAAAAAGTTCCTGTTCAGCAGATTTGCCCAGTGCAATACGTTGTTTGATTTCTTGACTGCTGCTTCCATGAGTGTTGATAGTTGATCCAAGAAGAATGAGGTCCTTGACAACTTCAATCTTTTCTCCATTGATAAGAATGTTGTTTATTGGTCCAGTGGTGAGGATTTTTGTTTTCTTGACATTGAAATGTAATCCATACCAAAGACTGTGCTCTTTGATCTTCATCAGTAAATGTTTTAAGTCCTTTTCACTTCAAGCAAACAAGGTTGTATCATCTGCATATCGCAGGTTGTTAATGAGTCTTCCTCCAATCCTGATGCCACGGTTTTCTTTATAGAACCCAGCTTCTCGGATGATTTGCTCAGCATACAGAGTGAACACATATGCTGTTGTTTGGTACCGTCACATTGGTTCTGACTCACAGTGAGTCCACATACAACAGAAAGGAACACCGCCTGGTCTGTTGCAGACCGTGTGTAGACTACAGGCCGCAGGCTCTGAGGAACAAATGAGGCCACTGGTAGTCAATAGCAAATTGTTTTTCATCTTAGTGTTCAGTTATATGTATTAATTTAATATATGGAGCCCTTGATATCCACAGATAAATGTGATATTTTCCTAAAGCCCAGACTAAAAGTTGCAAGGTCAAGCCTTTCTCCAAAGGATTAACTAAAAATATCTTAGCTACTTCACAGTTCTTTGTTCTACAGACAAAAAAGCCATCTTCCCTAAATCTCTCCCAAGTGTTAGCTATTCAGCCAAGTTCCTGAAAACCTGGCTCAGGAAGCCGAAACAGCGGGACTCCACCCAAGCTTTTGTCCTTACCTCTCACCTTCCCCCAACTGAGCTCAGGGGCTATAGATATGTTAATTGAGCCTGAGAAACCAAGTTGCGGGCCTGGGATTCGAACCAGCAAAGTATGATGTAAAGTTACCTGAATGTCTGGAAAATTACTGATGTTAGCTGTATCCTGTTTTAGTCCCTCCTAGCTTGGTGTGAAGCTCCTCCCCTAAATAAAACAGAGGCCCGGGCCTCCCCAGGGGTACATCACAGGTTGGAGGGCATGCAGTAAAGATTGCAGGGCAGTGAGTTGCTGCCTGCAGAGGCCACGATGCCTGTAGTCCCAAGTCTGCCCATCAGTGATGTGTCCACCCTGGCTTTGGGGTGCCTCATTGTCCCCCTTCTTCTGTCTGTGTATTCTGTTGTTATCTCTATCGCCGTCAGGTATCTCCTCCTCGTGAACCGAACCCCTATGTTGAGGCCGGTCCCCGACACTGGTCCGGTGCCGGTCTCACAATCGTCACTATGTGTGAGTCCATCATTGCGGTCACTGCGCCAGCCCACTTGGTTAAAGATGACGGCCAAGCACACTGTGGGGTGGGTTTACTCTCTCACATGAAGCCAACTTGACACGACAGTTCTGAGGGAGGGGTTGTACCATGATACTGACCAGCACAGTCCTGAGGACTCACTCTAGTGTCCACTCTCCAGCATGGGCAGTGAGGCAGAGGTGCATTCCAGCACTCTAGTGCTGACTGTAGACTCTTCTAGACTGTTACCTCACAGGGGCTGGGGCTGGGCAGTAGCCACGTTTTCTTGACCTCAGAGGCTCTGTGGGAGACCCCGGCCCCCACCTTCCTGATAGCAGAAGCCCTCCCCCAACAAAAGTTCCTAATGCTACTGGGCAGCAACCCTGGGGTCTAGCCTGAAGCCCCCATCTCTTAGCCCTCCCTGTAGTTTTTAAAGCACCCAATTCCCCATGTTAAATCCTTATTTATGTCCATCTTTCTGTTTCTGGCCCTGACGTCTGTTAGATGCAGGCAGTCAGACATGGACCCCGGGAACCGGGCCACACGCTGCCCACAGGTTGGTCTGGTTCTGAGAGAAGATCACTCTTCCCTGCTTCTCACCTCTGAGTAGGGCAGTTCATCCACCTGGACCATGACTGCAGGGCAGTTCATCCACCTGGACCATGACATCCTCAACCTGCAGCTGGACCCACAACCAGAGGTGTGTGGAGCCTCACTCTGCCAATCCCAGCAGAGCCAGTGCCATGGAGGGCTGGGGCGGGGTGTTAGCACTTACCAGGTGCCTGACCAAAGCACCGCTGGACTGTGCCACCCTGCTTCTTGGGCATTCTTTGAAAACCAGCCACTGCCGCTGAGTTGATGCTAACTCACCGTGACCCTCTAGGACAGAATGGAACTGAGGTAGAGAGTTCTGAGACTTAAATATCTATGGAAACAGATAGTCTCATCATTCTCCCATGGAGAGGATGGTGGGTTTGAACTCCTGACTTTTGATTAGCCACCCAACACTTAACCCACTACACCACCAGGTCTCCTTTGAAAACCACAAAGTCCTAAAAACGAACAAACAAATCCCTCAACACTCTCATGGCCTTGTTATTAATTTCCTCAAATCCACAGCTCAACCTTTTGTCCTCCCTTTTTCATTCCTTCTATCCACAGAAAAGAACCAAGGAAACCAGTCACAGGGCACCAGAAACTAAAGGGCGGTTCCATTTCTGCAGGAAAATAGGACCTGTAATTGTGCTTTCATCTAACTACATGAAAGGCTAATTTCCACAGTAAATGCTGTCCCCGAGAAAAGTACCTAGAACAAAGAGGCAGCCAGGAGGCTAAAGAAATACCAGAACTCTGGTCAGCAAGGACCAGATAGTGGCAGGGAGGCCAGGTCCTGCCATGAATCATGGCTCAGCACAGCTGGAGTCTCCATCTGGCAGTCACTAGACTGGGAAATCCATCCATCTCTCTATCCGTCCATCCATCCACCCACCCACCCATCCATCCATTCATCCATCCACTCACCTACCCATCCATCCACCTACCCATCCGTCCATCCATCCATCCATCCATCCATCCATCCATCCATCCACCCATCCATCCTTCCATCCATCCATCCATCTATCCATCCACTCACCTACCCATTCATCAATCCATCCATCATCCATCCATCCATCCATCCATCCATCCATCCATCCATCCATCCACTCACCTACCCATCCATCCATCCATCCATCCATCCATCCATCCATCCATCTGTCCATCCACTCACCTACCCATCCATCCACCCATCCACCCATCCATCTATCCATCCATCCATATATCCATACATGCATCATCCATCCATCCATCCATACATACATACATACATCTACCCTCTCCATCCATCCATCCATCCATCCACACACCATCCATCCACCCACTTACCCATCCATCCATCATCCATCCATCCATCCATATATCCATACATCTACCCTCTCCATCTATCCATCCATTCACCTACCCATCCACCCATCCATCCATCCATATATCCATATATCCACCCTCTCCATTCATCCACCCATCCACCTACCCAACCATCCATCCATCTGTCCTTTCTTTTATCCCATCCCTCTTCCCATACATCCATTGGATCCATCCATCCACCCACTCATCCATTTATCTTCAATCATTCCATCTACCTGCATCCTCTACCCACCCATCCATCCATTCATTCAACAAATATTTTAAGTCAAGCATTGGAGATAAAATGGTGAGACCGCTAGACATAATTCCTGCCATCAAGATTACCAAGTGTGTGTGTAGAGTAGATGACAATCAAATAATGACACCACTGTACAGTGACATACTTCAGTACACACTGGGAAGGAGAGGCACTAGGACCTGCAAGAATGTGAAATTGTTGTTAAAGTGCTAGCTAGTCAGTTCTGACTCACAGAAACCCTGTGTAGGATTTCTGAGGAGCAGCTGGTGTGTTTGAATTGCTGACATTGCAGTTAGAAGTCCAGTGCTTATCCTATAACACCACACCAGAAACAGTGGGATCTGAGCTGGCCTGGCATGCAGATGGAAGGCTTCTGCTGCAATAGCTCCCACCTGCCCATCTCCACCCTGCTCTGTCCTAAGGACTGTGCTGTGTAGACTGTGCCCACAGGCTCCCTCCTAATGACAGTGGGGACCACTCTCCTGCTGACAGTGGGGACCACCCTCCTACTGACAGTGGGGACCACAGCTCTCTCCCACCTCCCAGATCCTTGGTTCCACCTCCCAACTGGTGCCAGTTCCAGCATGCTCTACCCCAGAATGGTCCACTCAGCCCTCTCATACCTTCTGAGAGCCCCTCAGAAACCTCCTCAGTCACCCCGTGGGAAGGTGCCAGTGGTGTCCTGGGGGCCTTGGTGAACACAGTTCCTGAGGAGGGGCTGTCTGACTGTGGCTTGAGGGGTGGTCACTCGTCTTGGTGAAGGTGGAGGGAAGGCCAGGTGTGTGGAATGGTCCATCATGGCTGTGAGTCCCAACCCTGTCTGCTCTTTATGGATATCATCTCTGTGCCCACTCAGTTCTCCCAACAGCAACAGGACACAGACCTTGTTTCCAATGGCTAATGTGGGGACCACAGGATGCCAAGGAGAAGGGGCACCCTGGGGTCCAGTGCCTCCCTGACCATCCTTGAGGCTTCTGAGTCCCACTCGCCTTCCTCACAACATTGCTTCCAACATTCAATTTGCAGCTGGGTGGGTGGAGCAGACACTAGGTGCCCTGCCCAGCCAGATGGTACCTACTGTCCTTACCTTGTTCTCCTTGGTGTAGGCAAGCACCTTGTCCTCCTCCTTGGGGTGGAAAGTGAGTGTCTCCACAAAGAAGGAAATGAGCTGCTTCTGGAAGGTGGCCCCTTCGTCGGTGCTGAGGAAGAGACTCTGGTCGCGGTCACTGAGCGAAGAGCTCACCAGGATGATCTGGAAGATAGACAGACAGACAGACAGAGCTGTGAGGGAGGGGTGAGGCAGGGCTGGTGGAGCAGCGCCTCCAGGTGACCTGCTTCAAACCCCAGGTGAGCTCACACAAGCTGACTTACTTCGCTGTGCCTCAGTTTCCTTATTTGTCCCATAGGAAAAGCCACAGTGCTCCCTTCCAGGGATGCTGTGAGGACAACATAGGCATAGAATGGGAGACCCACTCACAGTTCCGGGTTCTAAGTGTGTATGAGGGTGGTTAGGTGGTATCCATTCTGTAAGAGTGGTTAGGTGGTCTTCATTCTATGAAGGTGGCTA